CGGGTTTAATTTCATTCCATGCTTTTACTATCCGTCACACACTATTTTTAGACTGGTATGACGCATTTAGCTTCCTTTTCCTTGTTGCTTCCTTGCCTTCGATGTTCACTTCGAAACCACGGCTTCAACTGACAACAGAATAAGAAAACATCTAACTGGTAAGTCCGCGAATTCATCCGCATCAGAAATGCATTCTTACTTCAAATAATGTCCTTCTTTTCTTAAAAATCTTAGACTAACATTCTTGTGCACATCTGCTTTTAATACAAATCACCCTCTTTGCAGAACAATTTCCTTCACACACATATTGTTCCCCTTATCGCTTTGTGAATTCAGTATACCATTGTTCGAAAGCCTTCTAATGAATAATTTCAAAAAATAAGAACATTGTCTTTCGGATTTTTTCGTAAAGAAAAGGGTGCGCGTTATACGACGAACATACCCCAAAAAAACTAAAAAATGTAAGCAGTCGACAAACTTCCGAGAAACAGCCCAGAAACTTCGATTATCTGCAATGAGAAAGAGAAAAGAGTAACAGAAGTAATGATCTTACGGTTAGAAACGACATATTCTGTAACTTCTCGCTGTTCCTAATATCTTACGTATTTTTACTACCTAAACTCGAACGCCTTGTGCTTAACGCATCACTGTCACTGCCACTACGTCCAAGAATTTCAATGCACTCGCCTTTTTCTAGTTTTGGAAGGTGAAACTACACCACAGATGTCAATCTTATTTGTTTGAACTGCATATTTATCATATCATTTTGAATTAGTTTCATAAAAGTAAAAATAATTGCTTTTATACTTTATGTCATTAAGATTTCGCAGGAAAGCTTCACTTTTGGGAAAACCTGATAAACCTCTATCTTTATACGATCTGTTGATACATATGATACACGGAAGCCTTTCGAATAAATGTGGTTCTGCATATAAAAAAAAAAAATCTCGTTTTCTCTTACTATAATGTGCAAAACTTCAGCAACAAATTCAATTTTCAACATACGAGCATAAAGTTATTGAAAACGCCGTTTTGCGATCAGTACAATGAAACTCCAAATCAGTAGAAAGGTGATGCATATGCATATATCTGTACCATGGCGTCAGAGATGTCAGCGCGCGCAGTGCAAGGCAACTTAAAAACTAGGAAAGGAGAGCCATTTCCAGACATTCTTCTGCAAGTAATAGTGAGATTGTTCATGCTTATGGCTACAAGACAACATCAAGGCGTCTTTACACATGATAGAATAATTGGCAAGCTTGAACAGGAGTGTAGTTTCACGTCTGTCGCCCAAGAGTTTGCAGTTGATAGAAGTGTTTGTTCATGAGCTTCGAAAGCCAGGTACCGCTATTAGCAATGTTGTTTGTGATCAGCTAAGGAAAACAACGATGATTGCTCAGAAGCTACACACGGCAACCGGACGGCAGGTATCCCGGTTTATTGCAGCCAGACGACTTCATAAAATCGCCTATTCATCTGCAGTTTTGTACGCTGCATACCATTGATAACAGCCTGTCGACTGCGCGGTTTACACTGGTGTAGAAAACACAAAGACTGGATGCTTAACGAAGGAAATCACGTCCTTTTTACAGATGAGATTCGTTTCAGTCTGACAAATGACTCTCGGCGTCAGTTGTTATGGGAAGAGGCAGAGACACGCTATCATCCAACTAATATTAGGGAAAGAGAACGTTGAGGTGGTCCTGGAATGCTTGTATGGGGAGGAATTATGATGTCAGAACTCCACATTTTCTACATAGGTTCTTCTCCCTCTTTCGTCTTTTCCGGGGTGCCATTGGTGCCGACTGGTGCACGGCCACACAGGACATATGCTGTTGAGAAGCTCTTAGAATGGGAAGATATCCATAAAATGGACTGGAAAGCGTGCTTCCCTGATTTAAATTCTACTGAACAATGTGTCGGATACTTTAGGAAGACGCCTGGCGGCATGGTCTTATTCCCCAGTGAATAACAGACAGCTAAAACAGACGCTTCTTAGGAATGGGAACTCTTACCCCCAAAACTGTTAGATAATCTGGTATTGAGTATCGACAGACGATGCAACGCAACCATTGCAGTTAGGAAATATTATGTCCCTTACTAAGGCTCTTTGATTTGTTTTTCTCCCTCTTGGTCAGACAGTTTTTTGTACCAACGCCATTCTATCAATAAAGCATTTTACTATTCTTTCTGAACTGTATGCGTCTATTAATTTTTTTTGCTACGATACTTTCCTCATCCCATAAGTATTACATAATGTCACTGTAGTATGAATTCCACTTTTTTCAATTAATTGTTTGCAGAATTACGACCAAAATCAAACACGTTGCTTAAGTTTTGTACGTTAGTGTAGATAGTTAGCATTATCTATTTGAGCAATAATATACCTTCGTACCATGATCGGCAGTATATACCCAATTTTAGGTTTTTAAGGCAAATAAAAGCAATTCGGCATAAGTAGTTTTCTATGATTTGAAAAGAATTCTGTGATTTACATGAACGTCACAAAGTAAAACATATCAACTTTAGTGCTAGAAAATAGTCACAAATACTACGGCAGAAGTTATTATATGAGATATTTGAATAAAAAATTGAAGATTAAATCTCAGTCGACCTTACAAGGAAAACATGCTTTTATGCTTATTTAGAGAAATGAATAGAATTCAGAATTTTATATACCTTTTACAAGGACTCAGTTAAGGAGAACTGAGCTCTTTATGTCTCTCGAAAGCAAACTTTTTGTGGTTTTTTTTAAACATGCATATTTTTAATATGCTGATGCATACGCATCCGATGAGACCGTATGCATCAGCGTTACAGTTGTTTGCTTAATGGAGAGACAGGCGACACTTCGATTACTATTAACATGATGTCATTTCGTTTAGTCAACATGACGTCATGGTTGAAAATTTCTACTCCCATACGTTTAATTTAGCAGAATGCATTGTAGTAACCTTGATTAGGATCGATATTGTTTCGTTCTGTCAGTTATAGTAGAATTAAACTCTGATTGCATGCTGAACTATGAACGAACGAATTCCTGCGTTTTATACTATACCGACTGTGCAATTTTTCTTATCAAGTTGAAACAATTAAACTTTGAGCTTATTTGAATGAATGATTAAAACTTTGTTTAAAAATGTTTCTGAATGAAACTTTTACTTTCAAAAGTAAATAAGCTATTTATTACTTAGATGACATTCAGAGTATAAAATGCTATAAATACTAGTCAGTATTAGCATATGAAATTCTTTCTTAGCTTCACAGAAAAGTGTCAGCTATATTAGTTTTTAATGAAATCACTTAGATGGAATATAAGCTAAATCAAAAATATTTATAATGTATTGCAAATTAGATTTTTTTCTTGCGATCAAATTAGATATTTTAAATGTATGATGTTGGCAGAAAGTTTTAGACTTTGTTCCGGAACTTAGGCAGACTAACTGAAGTTAAATTTTAGTTTACGTATTTCCTAAAGCATGTAGCCCTTTGGTGGAGAACATTCTGAAGGAATCTTCACTTGTTTACACTGCAAGCAGAGAAAAACCAGTGGTTAATTAAACTTAATCTATTCTTTTCACCCAAGAAAAAATGCCTGATAACTGATAATAGTATAATCTGAGACACAAAGTTGCGAATGGCCAACAGTTTTTTCCCTGCTATGCTGCAACCTGCAGCACTTTTTTTTTTTGTGTGTGTGAATTGCTATTGAAACCAAATTAATTTTCTTTGAATTCTTAAATCAAACGTATACGGGCTTCCTACCACAGCAATTTTATTTTTTTATAATTTCTACTAAATCTCAAATTTAAATAAAAGTGTTTTGATACATCTCATGACTTTAAATTACTACAATAAATCTATTAGTTATTACTGAATGCCATAAACTTACTTATACTCTTGGTTGCGTTTAATTAATATAACTAATCCATTTCTTGCTGTCTTTTTGAAAGAGCGTGCGCGCATTTTTCTGCACATTTGAATATTTGCTACACTAAAGAACCCACTTACATTACATTGAAGTGACAGTTCTTAATAGTTTTAAATTTATTCGAATAGGAATTTTCTCGTGAAACGACTTTTTCAGTTTCGTCATATAAGAAGAAGATACAAGTGTCTCACACCCTAACAGCCAACAATTTTTTCATCTTGATACTTTCTTCTCAGTAAAAAAGCCAATGTAGGTCTTCCAAATAATTACTGCAAGAATCTATTTAATAAAAGTCTTATTATTATCTTATCTTATTTTTAATCTTACTTTCAAGTCTACAAAACTTTATTGAAATTCTTATCAATAAGTGATCCTAAATTATCATTAACTAATTCTTTTAAAACTTGGGGAAGAAGGAATTCCCACAGTAAGAGTAGACGTTTTCCGGAGAAAGGAGGTTTGATTCTGGAGAAAGCAGGAGTTAAATTCCTCATCTGATTTCAGCTGATGAAGTGAGTCATGTGAAATTATGATGCCATTTGTTGCCGAGGTACATGTATAGGTGATTTAATATATATATATTGTGTGTTAAGAAACGTAACTTATTCTTGTGTTTAAGAATACGTTTTCACTTGAGAAAAAAATCACTATTTTGGGGAAGAAAGAGAGAAATTGCTTAGTTAAATTAAGAAAATTAATTTTAATATTAAAAATTAGTATAACTCTTATAATAGATACACATTTATTATTGCCAGCATTTTAAGCTTAAAACAAACTAAGCAAACCCGTAGATTAAAAGATTTTGCAGTTTTTATATAGAGGATTCCCCAAGCGCCAGAAATTGATTTACATTCGCTTTAAAAGTATCAAAAAATCATTGCAACCCAATAAGTGTTAGTCATAACGAAAAATCGCGTTTTGTGGAAAGCGTGGACAAAAACTATGAATGAACATCGAACATGGTTTACTTTTGCGGCGTGCGCCACGTGACCGGCATTTCAAAACTTTACACCCGCTACGTAATTGAGGTGGGAAAGAAGCCGAGCATTTTTCGCTTTGACTCCACGCACCACAGCATGGTGACTGAAACAGATCAGTTGGTACCTTGTCTGTTGGGTGGACGGTTGGCATGTCAATAACAGTAGTTACTGTTCTCTTTATATTTCGAAGCGAAAGAGCTAAACACAAATATTGAATGTGTATCGTTTAGAGTTTTTTTGCGTTATGTATTGTATTAACTTATTTTTTCTGTTCACTCTTTGCTGGCGTGTGGTCTCGGTTGCTTCAGATGGCAGTGTCACAAAGTAAGCTAATTTTATTTTGATTATTCTAGCTCTGCAAAATTTGAAATTTCCGAAGTTTTGAATTTCTGTAGTAAATTTTTACTAGCTTCCCGTTACAATAAAAATATATTAAAATGCTGCAGTGGAGAGTTCTTAGAAATTTAATGCTTGCTTCTAAAGAAATTAATTGCATTAAAACATTTTATATTCATCAACACTCTTAATTCCAGTACTAGATTATTTAAAAGAGACTGCGAGTCGTGAAGATTTATTATTATTATTTTTTTTTTAATTCATAGCAGTATTTTCTCTTCAGTAGTATTTTATTCCTCCGTCATTCTGAATGGTTTTTAAACACTGAAGAATCCAATTTTTGTATAGGGAAAAAAGGAATATATTAAATTACTTACATTATGTGCATAAAATCTTTTAATTGAAAACGAAATGCTCTGCGCAACAAAAAGAATATATGGATAATATGGGCAAAATAATAAAATACAGTTATTGAAATCTTTAAAAAAGTATTTACCGCATGCGTTGGAAAACATATGTCTTATGACTGCGCGTGTTGCTATATAATTACACATATGTAATTTAATTAATACCATTTAACTTTTTTTAGCTATTTAGAAATCATAATTATATTTTAATGCAATCTGGCTAATTCATACATTTGTCTAAACATGAATCATGAGCGAAAGAAAATTTAAGGTAGCAGTTATTCATTTAAAAAAGGATTTATTCTAGTTTTGTTGCAGACCAGAGATATTTATCTAATTTCAAATGATTTTATTCAGTGTAAAATTAACATTGAAATGAATGGAGGAGATGCTTTTTAAGCATTAAGAAATGTGCTACGAAGAGACGAGTGTAAAAGATTTAGACTAAACATAATTAATACAGTTTTTTTGTGTGTGTCATTTTCAAAGCTTATTGACAGCGGCTAACAACAAAATCTTGAGTTATTGTTTATTTAATCTGCGAATAAGTGATTATTTTGTCATCAAGGAAAAGATTCATGGGAGCTCTGCATTCATCTTAAACTAATTAACAGAGCTGAAAGTTTTCAGCTGAACACTGTTGCATTAAATTGTGTTTCAAGGTTATCCTCAGTCATTGTGGAAAATTATTAATCTTCCTTATCTAAATAAGGATCCTGAACTTTCTTTCTGTACTTTTGACTTGATGAATTTTCATATATTCGTAAGAAGAAAACGTAGAAGTAATCCCAAGGTAAAATCATATTGCATAATCATTTTATGATTTCTCTCGTATTTGTAGAAACTTTTAAACATTCTTAGAATCCTTTTAATTCGTTTCAATAAAAACAAAGAATTTAATTCAGGTACTATAAGTTATCTAATTAAAACTAGATTGACTTAAAAATTGAATTAAAAATCAAATTTAAGTGAAAGTTCTGTTCAGTCTTGAAATATTAATAAAATGCTTATTTATCGAGTTTCATTATTTATACATTATTTCTGAAGTGTTATTTCTTTCATTGTTCATGCTCATTTTATTTCATGAAGCATTTTTTTATTTAATTACTTGGCATTTACAAAATGAAACGACGCTTTTGACTCACAGCACACAAATCTGTCCAATTTGGCTTTATGTAAAGTTTGCTTTATTCACTGCAAAATTATTCATCAAGATAAACCTTCCCGTTTAAAGTTAAAAATTACTGTGAGCAGTAACGAAACAATTATATAAAATTTACTCAACTGATATTAAATTCATTGACGGTATGGATTTTTTCCCCACGAAATTACATAACTCGAAATTCTGAGTTATGAACAGGATACACTCTTCAGAGCTTTCAAAAGTCGAATTTATTCGTAACTCATACGCCGATGAAAAATGTATGCATAATTATAACTAAAAATGTTAATATTAACAATAATGTTATAATAACTCATACGTGAGAAATGTAATATAATCCCGCAATAATGAATATTAACAATAATAATATCGTGTATCATGATAAAAAGGTATAAATACTATGCCTTAAAAGGTATTTCTCCCGCCTTCTTAGCGAGCCTTCGTGGTGTAGTGGTCTGCACGCTCAGTGCGTAATTGAGAGATCCGTGGTTCGATTCCCGGCGAAGGCGTTGCTATTTTTTCATCTTGCCTGCTTCCCAAAAATACCTAATGTCTCTACAGCCTTTCTTTAATTCAACTACACCGATCATAAAAATGCACTTGTACAAAAAGTTTAGATAAAAGGTAGAGAAATCTTTGAAATAAATAAAGAAACAAATAGCTAAAACTAAAGAGCAAAACTAACTAAATGTTCCATCAGTACCTTACTGATTGGGAAGAGACACGTTAAATTAAGAAGATAAACTTACAAAATGTAGGATGATGACGGCGACAATGCTGAAGATGATGAGGTAAGATCTGGAGAGTTAAGATTTGATTCCGATGCTGAAGTATTAGGAGCTTATTATTGAACATGGTTTCTTGAAAGAAAAAGTCTAGTACTCTGAATCCCTTCGACTACGTAGTTTAATAATTACAACATTCGCTACTGGCGCAAAATATAAATATTTCAAATAAGTATGGCAGTTGGATTGCATACGTTGTTTCTCAGGAACGTAGTGTAGAAAAGAGTAAGATGATCATAAATTCATATACAAAGATGATAGAAAATTATACTCTAAAGTGAAAGGAAAACCCATAAATATTCATACATGATACATCAGGTTTCTTTTTTAAATGTGCAATGGGAAGAAGTATTCGAAAACCAGTAAATCAGTCACTCTAGGTATCCCAGTTTTCCTGGAATTTATACTTTTAACTATTTTAACATTATGGAGATCTCGTTCTTAAGTATGGAGTACAACTCCATAATCATATTGTTCGTAACACGGGAACTGCCTGTAATTGTTAACTATTTGCTTAAATGCAATGACGTCAATTTTTGAAATGCGCGAATATTATAGAGAAGAAATTAAAAACATTTATAGTAAAGGAAACAACCTTTTTTTTTTTTCTTGTTTGTTCTTATTTGTAAGTTTAAAAGGAATTTTCATCTTCCCTCCTGCAAGCTTTCATGTTGTTAATGGAAACATAAACAGCTAGCAATTGGAAAAGTCGCAGTTCAAATAACGGAAGGCATAACTGCTTTTTCATTCTTCTAACTTTGAAAAATAATGTCTTTACAAGTTGGCTGTACAAATTGTTGAAAACAATAATTTGAATAATTATTCGGATAGAAATAGCATTAAAAATAATTTTGAGTGGCAAATAATTTGAACCGGCAATATAAAATAATTTTGAGAAAATCTAACTTGTATTGATTTTGCCAGTTTTGGATACCTAGGCTGTAGTAATCAAGTCTTAATTGAAAAATATTTTGAATTTCTTTTAGGGTAAAATAAAGGTTTTCAATAAGCTGAGATTTTTCCTCGATAAAGCTGAATGGTGAAGTAGAAAGATCTATTCATTTCAACTCAGAATGTTTTATTATTACAACAGAACGCTGATTATCCAAAATTCCAATTATCAGGACAATCCATGTATGATATTTAACAGTAAAGCTAAATAATGTTGCATCAAATATCAGGAATAAAAAATGGATGATTCGAAAAAGAAGGGACGAAATCAAAATTGTGATAAAAATTAAATTAATGTGTAATTAAATTGTCGATGTAAAATAATCCTGGGTAATCAATCCTTTAACTGGAGATGAAATCATGACTTCTGATCAAGATGAAGAAAAAGTTGAAGAAAAGAGAAATAATTATTAGGATAATGACACCGGCCCATCAAACACTACTGAAGCCTTTAAATGTGAAGTGGTTGGAGCTTCAAGAAGATTCAGTGAAGTACGACTTCTCTGCTGAAAAGAATTGAATTTTTCCGGGCAGAGATTTCTTTACTTAAAATGCATCCCTTTTTTACACTTACTTAAATTTATGCTTAAACTGCATCATTTTGTAAAATAATTTGTTCTGAAAACAAGGTTTTCTTTCAAATAAAACACAATTTAAAGTTCTTTATTGACAAGTTAAAAATGCAAAATTTATCTTATAAAAGTCTTGACTTTTATAAAAATAAAATTAATGTATTTTGAAGAGGTGATAGCGGGAAATGTCGTTATTGTGCCCAACGGCCCTTAAGATGTTAGTCTTGAATCAGTTTTACACTGTCTGCCCAAGAATCTGAAATTTTGCTTATCCATACAGGATACTAACAAGTACATACTAATAAGTTCAGATAATCAGTGTTTAGCAATATTATGTTCAAAATCCGGGAACATTGGCTTATTTAAGATGAAGCAGCTGAATTCGATGACAGGATAATGCCATCAGATTCCTTGATGATTAATTGTTACATGATAGCAATAATAATAATAATAATAATAATAATAATACATATTGTATGCTATTCAAATAAAATTAGCAAACTGTATGACATTTTTCAGCAAATATACAGAATAGCACTTAATGAAAAGACTGTCGTAAGCTGAACACTGACAATTTATCGGGCAGTGGCGCTTTACTGGATTTACGGAATTGGATGTAATGCCAATTAAATGGTAGGTAGAATGAATAGATTGTGAATCGAGGTCTTCTTTAATTCACATAAGTATATAAAACAAAAGTCTGTGCTGTTTACTTCAACCAAACGAACAAGCTCTCAATGAATTTTTATTGGTGCAGCTGTGAGGAAGCATGCATTAGAGAGATTTCCACAATATCCCACTTTTTAAAAATTTCCATGCCGATCTCATGCAATTATAAAGCATCTTTCAGTTAGAAAATAGATAGCAGAATATATGGTATGAACAGCAGGAAGTTAATAATAGTAATTTATCAGGCCAAATCATTTGACGGCTATTTGTCTCAGTTCTAATTGGGTAAAAGCACATCGAGATTGCCATTAAAGGAAGGTATCCAAACTGAGACAACAGTCTTTTGGGGGGCTTTTCTTGTGTTGATTTCATGATTTTATGAATGACGTTTGTAACAGTATTTCAAACAGGGTTTAAAATTTTTGAAGCTTTTCAATGGGAA